GTCGTTGAAACATCAACGCGCGGCTGATTGCTCTCCGTTTCTGGCCCCGGCCCCCGCGGCGCCCACCGTGCCCCCGGCAGTCAAAAAACAGCTCGGGATGCGAAGCCTGTCCCGGGGAAGGGGTCCAGAGCTATGGCGTTGAGTCGGGCGCGTCCCTCTGCAGGGGGATTTTCGGCGAACCATAAAGAATACCCCAAACATACTCAAAACATGCACAAAAGTATTCCCAAAATAGTCCCCATACTATTTTTTGACTATTTTTGAATACTCCCCCTGTAGAGGACAGGCCCGACTTAACTCTGGCGGCGCACGTGGCGAGAAGCTCACGACGTCGAGGAAGGGAAGCACGGAGGAAGCGAGGGGGGAGGGAGGACGAGTGGAGGACTGCATGCGGGGAGGGGCGCATGGAGGGAGCAGGGAAGCGAGAGGGAAGCACGAGGGGAACGGACGACGAAGAGGACAGGCGACGTAAGGGCCGTAAGGGACGAGGGTGACTCCGAAGGCGCCTGGGCACGCTGCGGCGAGCTCAGGGGGAAACAAGGAGCAGCGAAAAGCGGATGGGAGCGCGAGAACTCTCCCCAGAATGTTGCCCGGCTACGCCCCCTGCCTACGCAGCTCTCTGCCCAACTCTCCGCACTATCTTCCCTGTATTGGCCGGGTCCATACTACGAACCACGGGCGCGCTTCGCGCACGCTTAGATTATGGCGCGGCGCAGGGCAAACGGGATAAGGACGACAGGACAGAAGGAACCCATGACCACGACCCATATAACGAGGATGCAGAGGAGGTGCATGTGGAGGAAAACGAGCCTGAGGAAGGGGGAGTGATCATACGACGAGAGAATCAGCTTATGTTTATGATGTTCCAACCTACTTTAGCCTTGACCACCAGAATGAATTTCGAGCACCAAGCGAACACCCCAAAACTCTAGGGTTTTCACGTGTCGGGCCCTGGGAGACACTCTTTCGACACTGTTTCGACACTTTTCCGGGTGCTCGAAATTATTTCTGGGATGCGGTCCTTAAGTAGGATGGGAACAACATAAGCATATGTGTGATTCAATCCTCGTCCGCTCCTTTCCCTCTTTCTCGTCTTGCGCATCCCGCCCCGTCTTTCTCTTACTCCACATCCTCGACCTCTCGTGATGGTGATTGATGCTGTGCTCCTGCAACTCCTCCATCTCTGCCATCTCATCCGCCTCCTCCTTGTCAACATCAGCATCACCATCAGAATTCGTATTATGCTTCTCCGCATCCTCCAACCACCTCACCCCGACCCCCTCCTCTGATCTCTCCTCTCCTTCGTCACCCCGTTTCTTCACCCGTTCTTGACTCATGGGTCCTCCCCCACCCAGTACAACGTTTCGTGGCCCCGTAGGGAGCTCCACCAAAGGTCTCAATTGCGCAGCCCGCATGCGTCTCCCCCACCCAGTACAGCGTTCCATGGCCCCATAGGGAGCTCCACCAAAGGTCCCAATGGCGCAGTCCGCATGCGTCTCCCCCACCCAGTACAGCGTTCCGTGGCCCCATAGGGAGCTCCACCGAGGGTCCACATGGCGCAGTCCGCATGCGTCTCCCCCGCCTGGAACAGCGTTTCGTTGCCCTATTCGGGGGCTGACGATACCTACAACTTCGGGATTCACAACTGCATGTGGTTGGGTCCGTCGCCAGGCTAAGTTTCTTCTTCGTCTTCTTTATCCCCCACGTGTTCCCCAAAAGGTTTCCACAATGGCTGGGAACGCGCAGTCCGATAGCGTAGCCGAGCTCTGGCCTCAACGATCGGGGGGACGACGATGACTCGCCGTAAGCGTCTTCGATCCGCCGCCCCCCCGGGCCTGCCGCTAGCGTGCACGATGTGCCAAGTAATTCCTTGTATTTCGATGTAAAACTGAATAAACCTTGGGCCGACCCCGCCGGACACCAAGAAGGACCCATAAACGGCCGAATTCGTATGACTTCCCGCTTCCGACTGCCCCCAAATGGCCTCCAAGGCGCCCCATACGGACCCGTGAACTTCCCAGGTCATCGGCCTTCCCGCTCCATGGCGGCCCAGATGACTAAAGATTGCCTCCAAGATGCCTCCAATGCGTCTATGACGGCCCCCAGAAAGCCCAATACGGCCGCAAGATGTCTCCAAGACGGCCCAAAATGCACCCACGATGGCCCAATATGGCCCCAAGATACCCCAAGACGACCGCGAGATCCCACGGAGGCATCCGAGAGAGACTCTAGGAAACCCCGAAAAAGATCACTCCTCCTCCTCCTTCTCCTCCTCTTCTTCCTCCCCCACGTCTTCCGGAAGCGTTTTCACAACAGCTGGGGGGGCTACACGATCCGACAGCTTGGCCGAGCGGGGCCACAACGTTCGGACACAAAGGTGTGGCTCAAAGGCAGGGGCCAGCGGTGATTCGCCGTAGGCATCTTCGATAAGGAAGAAAAAGAAGCAGAAGGAGACGCCATCTACCCCGATCAGTGCAGCACTGGGATAGCAGTCGCAACGTTTCTTCCATAAAGCTACAAAGCGACACGATGATGGCAATCCTGGGGCATCATCGCTTCGTAAGCGAGAACGCACCTGGCAAAAAGAGGCTGCTGGCGTTAGGAACGCTGCGCTATTCTACCGACTCGCGTGCGCCATCCGTGCACTAAGGCATTCGCGCCGTTCGATTGAAATGTCTGCGCTGTACTTGCGATTGGGCCGTGGGCTGTTTTTGAGATTGAACAGACAGTCCAACTGAAAACAAAGAAACGATTCCAACAACACAACCTAAATAAAGAGGTAGTCCACACTATTAAACTTGAAATACAAGGCACCAATCTCCATGTACCTGGATAATTTTGAAAAACGGAAGATGCCAAGCATAAAGAGACGACGGGAAATACAGATAATGAGTCGTTTCTTGGCAATCAACAAAACATCAAACGAACAGCAACTCATGCTGAACGAAATCAAAGCAACTATCGCCCAAGGAACGTCCGGGGAGATTCCCTGTCACAAGGAGTGCCCAACACCCGGTCACAGGGGGTGCAAAATCCTCTGTCACAGGGGGGGCCCAATTCCCTGTCACAGGGGGTGCCCAATACCCGGTCACAGGCGGTAACCAATTCTCTGCCACAGGGGGTACCCAATTCCCTGCCACAGGGGGTGCTAAAATGTGCTAAAATCCGTGCCACACGGGGGTGCTCAATTCACTGTCACAAGGGGGGCCCAATTCCTTGACACAGGGGGGCCTAAACGCATCACAAGAACAACTCGCGTTGTTCTAAGAACAGTTCTCGCAAAAACATATCTCTCGTATCATACGACTCACCCTTTCGCATCACAAGAACGACTCGTCCTCACGGAATCGTAAGAACAGACAATCCTCCCTGCAGGAACGCTTTGGCCGGAAGCGTCTTGATTGATTAAATTTCCCGATTGTGGGAAGGCTGCGCGCGAATGCCCACACAATCGGCCCCGTGTTCTTCCGTCGTTCACCTGCGGCCTCGGGGTCCACAGCGATGCCCATTGGTCCGCCGTGAATAGCGCTCCGCCTGTGTGGCCGAGACCACCCGCAGGTTCAAGCTGCTGACCGAGCCAAAACGCCTTAGGCGACTTGGATGCGGAAGCTGTTCTGAAGCCATCTTGGAGACACATGGGAGATCTCTTGGGCTGCCGCTGCAGCTTAAGAAAACCCAAAGCCAGCCCAATGATGCCCCGATGCAGCCAACAAGTTCCCAAAGATGCTTCCAACACTTCCTAAGAGGGCCCCTCACAAAATAAAATGCTCCAGATGGAGGTCGCCAAGAAGGCCAACTATGCCCCGAGATCAACCCACCCCTAAGAAACAACAAAGCGGTCCGACATGATCTTTTCGGACACAATGGGCGGCAATGGCTCGCCAGAGATGCCTTCAGTGATCCTGGCTCTGTTTCGTCATGCTGCCTGCCTAGATAACTATCCCAAACGCTCGCTTCGCGCGGCAACGGCGGCAACAACAATCAACTCGAAACAATATGCCAGCCTTTGGACAATCGGGAACAGGGACACTTACCCATTGACATCTCCAGCACATGTGCGATGTTTGGCCATATCAGCGAGTCCAGCTATGACGAACAAACGGGCACCATGTGAAGACTGCATGGGGTGCTGTTCGTTGCACGCCCAAATGGGCCTGTTCGGAACAAACCACATGACAACTTTTCTGGCGAAGGACTCAACCACGTGCAGCTGTGGATGCCGTAATAAAGAATACCGGCATCGGCAGGACCTCCGATGGACCACGAAACGCGTCAAGGGTTTGCCGTAATTGGCGGGACACGCCAAGCGAAAACGCCCACCGGGGCCTTCAGTGGGGCCCCCTTATGGGTCACGAAACGTGTGAGGGGTGCGCCGACATGGGCGGCGGGGGCGCATACAGGCGCTGCCGCCGGGGCCATCGACGGAGCTCTCGGGGGGGGGCCACGAAACGCATGAGGCGTTTGCGGAACTGGCGGCGTGCGAATCTAGAGGAACAAATCCGAGGTCCGCGCGGATTTCTCGGATCGGCGCGGGACCCCCCTGCCTGGCGCGCGGAGCGCGCCAGGGGTGGCGCTGGAGGCGCCACCAGGGGGGCCCCTTCCGTTTCTTTGAAGATGAAACCGTGCGAGCCCTGTCAGTGGGGCCTGCGGATGGGGCTCCGAGTGGGCTGCCTTGGGGGGCCGCGTGCGCCACGCGAGCCGTGCCACGGAGATCCATATGGCATCGAACCGGATCGATCCGATCGACATGCACTGCGCCCCCTTTGAGCAGTGACCGACCGCCCCGGCATCTCTATAGTCCTACTACGAAATGTTCTAGAACCCAAAAATGTTCTAAGAAAAGCAATGTTCTTAGAACATAAACCCGATGTGTTAAAACAAGACAGCCCCAGCCAGAAATGTTCTAGGAACATGTCGTGGAAACCACAAAAGGTTCTTGGAACATTGTTTGGTAGGGCTATGGGCGAGTCAGGAGGAGGCTTCGCCAATGCTTGAACTACGCCCCGTGGACCTTCCAGGCGACCACGCCGTCGTGCGGGCCCAAGCTGACGGCGACTATGCCCGCCTCCAGCGGCCACCCGCCGGACTCCATCGGCCAGCCGCTCGAGCTGGCCACGATGTTCCTGCGCGGCGGGCACGGGCAGGGTGGTGGGGCGGCGGGGAGGAGGGCGAGAGTGGAACACACGAGCGGCGAGCGTATCCACACCCACGCCCACGCAGTCTGGAGTCCAGGCCGTGTTCGATTTAATAGGCTTACGCCACATCCGCCGACCCCTTGTATTTCCCAACCATCCTGCGGTGTTGGGTCCTCGTTTTGAAGAAACGGTCCCCGCGTTCCTTTTCCTCCTCCTCCTCCTCCTCCTCCTCCTTCTCCTCGTCTTCCTCCCTCCAGGGTTCGCATGCCTCCCCACCACCCATTTCGGCACACCCCACACACGTTTCGTGGCCCCATAGGGAGCTCCACCGAAGGCCCCAATGGCTGCGTTCGCATGCCTCCCCACCACCCATTTCGGCACACCCCTCACACGTTTCGTGGCCCCATAGGGAGCTCCACCGAAGGCCCCAGTGGCTGCGTTCGCATGCCTCCCCACCACCAATTTCGGCACACCCCTCACACGTTTCGTGGCCCCATAGGGAGCTCCACCGAAGGCCCCAGTGGCTGCGTTCGCATGCCTCCCCACCACCCATTTCGGCACACCCCTCACACGTTTCGTGGCCCCATAGGGAGCTCCACCGAAGGCCCCAGTGGCTGCGTTCGCATGCCTCCCCACCACCCATTTCGGCACACCCCTCACACGTTTCGTGGCCCCATAGGGAGCTCCACCGAAGGCCCCAGTGGCTGCGTTCGCATGCCTCCCCACCACCCATTTCGGCACACCCCTCACACGTTTCGTGGCCCCATAGGGAGCTCCACCGAAGGCCCCAGTGGCTGCGTTCGCATGCCCCCCCCACCCATTTCGGCACACCCCTCACACGTTTCGTGGCCCCATAGGGAGCTCCACCGAAGGCCCCAGTGGCTGCGTTCGCATGCCTCCCCACCACCCATTTCGGCACACCCCTCACACGTTTCGTGGCCCCATAGGGAGCTCCACCGAAGGCCCCAGTGGCTGCGTTCGCATGCCTCCCCACCACCCATTTCGGCACACCCCTCACACGTTTCGTGGCCCCATAGGGAGCTCCACCGAAGGCCCCAGTGGCTGCGTTCGCATGTTCGCATCACACCCCACCACCCATTTCGGCACACCCCTCACACGTTTCGTGGCCCCATAGGGAGCTCCACCGAAGGCCCCAGTGGCTGCGTTCGCATGCCTCCCCACCCCATTTCGGCACACCCTCACACGTTTCGTGGCCCCATAGGGAGCTCCACCGAAGGCCCCAGTGGCAGGGTTCGCATGCCTCCCCACCACCCATTTCGGCACACCCCTCACACGTTTCGTGGCCCCATAGGGAGCTCCACCGAAGGCCCCAGTGGCTGGTTCGCATGCCTCCCCACCACCCATTTCGGCACACCCCTCACACGTTTCGTGGCCCCATAGGGAGCTCCACCGAAGGCCCCAGTGGCTGCGTTCGCATGCCTCCCCACCACCCATTTCGGCACACCCCTCACACGTTTCGTGGCCCCCAGCTCCACCGAAGGCCCCAGTGGGGAGCTCCACCGAAGGCCCCAGTGGCTGCGTTCGCATGCCTCCCCACCACCCATTTCGGCACACCCCTCACACGTTTCGTGGCCCCATAGGGAGCTCCACCGAAGGCCCCAGTGGCAGGGTCCGCATGCCTCCCCACCACCCATTTCGGCACACCCCTCACACGTTTCGTGGCCCCATAGGGAGCTCCACCGAAGGCCCCAGTGGCGCGGTGCCTATGAGAAGAGGGGCCTAGTTTGCGTGCCCCCTCCTTCGTCTCATATCCGTGCGGTACTCGCAGCTGCATATGGTTGGGTCCTTCGCCAAACTATTTTTTTTGTGGGGGGGGGGCAGGACCTTTGGAAAGCCGTCTTGAGAGCGCTTCGGGTCGAGGGCAATCCCATGGATACGTTCCGCGCGGGGCATCCGCGAAGAAACGCCCCGTATCCGCGGGGTCGCGGCCAAGGGGCCCGGCCCGCGAGGCCGCGGATGCAGACATAAGATACGTCCTTCGCCCACGAGGAACGACGGCCATTCCCGCAGGAGGGGGAAGGGGCTGGCTGGCGGCGGCTGAAGTTTGGGGACGCCGAAAGATACCGAGACCGCTACTTCCTGGACCTTTTCCTGGGGTGCGTCCTGACCATAATCTCGAAGAGAACCCAGCGGTGGCGACGATGGCCTCGATTGCGCCATTGGTTGCGCCCTCGGCGGCCGACAAAAACACCATCTCCTATCGGTTGCGCCATTGGGTGCGCCCTCGGCGGCTGACAAAAACACCATCTCCTATCGGTTGCGCCATTGGTTGCGCCCTCGGCGGCCGAGAATGCAACCGTCTCCTGTCGGTTGCGCCATAAGTTGCGCCCTCGGCGGCCGAGAATAAAACCACCTCCTGTCGGTTGCGCCATAAGGTGCACCCTCGGCGGCCGAAAATAAAACCGTTTCCTATTGGTTGCGCCATAGGTTGCGCCCTCACAATAAAACCATCTCCGATCGGATGCGTCATAGGTTGCGCCCTTGACGGCCGAGAATAAAACCGTCTCTTGTCGGTTGTGCCATAGGTTGTGCCCTCGGCGGCCGAGAGTAAAACCGTCGCGGAATGGGTGCGACCAGTCAGTTCAGTTCAGTTCAGTTTGAGTTGAGTTCAGTTGAGTTCACTTCTGTTCATTTCTGGATATATTTGCAGCCTCCCGAACGACATGTTGGACGGGCCGATATCGTTTCGGCTCGAGCGCTTCGGAGAGAATAATTATCCATGGTAGCGTGAGCGGATGCGCCCCCAGCGCCGAGAGCGGCAGCTTGCGATAGAGCCGCGGCGGGCCAGGCCCGCGGAGGGCTCCGAGGCGCAGGCCAGAGCACAGGCGCTGGAGGCGACCAGCCTCGTGGATCCAGACGAGGGCGAGAACGATTTTGAGGTGCTGTCGGAGAAGGACACGACCCAGGTGTGGGTCTCACTGGCAGCGTGGCTGGTGAGGCTGGCCTTCAAGAGGCGCTGTTGGGCGCACCTCGGACAGCATCTGTGTGCGATTAAGAGACAGGGTCAAGATGGCAGCTGGGGTCCAGGACGTCCAGGCGCTTCGACAGGCTCTCGAGCAAGTGCAGGGAAAGCTACGGCAAGCACGAGCGGGCGCGGACGCCGCGAGTAGAGCGGCGCAGGAGGCTGCGCAGCGTGCGCAGCAGGTGCTCGGGCAGCAGGGTGCAGCCGCAGCGGCGGCGCAAGTGCCAGACCCTGGACCTGAGAGGATGGCCGCGGAGATGAAGATGATAAGCAAACCAGAGATGTTCGATGGGGCCAAGCCGCCATGGTGAGACTGGTCGGTGGTATTCGAGGCGTTCGCAGGTGCGACGAACCCGAACATGGCGGCGGCGATGGCCAGAGCGAAGCGAGAGGCAGAGCCAATGCTGATGACGAACCTCGAGCCCGGAGACATGCAGTTGTCCAGGACGTTGGGGTACTGGCTCATCCAGACGTGCAGGAGCCAGGCGCTCGACGTAGTGCTGAATGCGGGCAAGCTCGAGGGATTCGAAGCCTGGCGACAACTACACCTTCGATTCGAGCCTCAGGCGGCGAGCAGGTACGCTGGGCAGCTGATGACGCTGCTGGCCTGGGATTTCAGTGGTGAGATGATGACACGCCTGGAAGCCTTCGAGAGGGAGATCAGCCTGTGCGAGTCGGCGTCGGAGGAGACCCTCTCGGACGCGATCAAGGTGGGCATCGTGCTGAGGCAGTTGCCCGAGTCCCCGCTGAGGCAGCACATGATCATGAATGCGGAGAGACTCAAGGAGTGGCCCAAGTTCAGGGAAGAGATCCTGAACGTTCGACGAGCCCAGGCCGCAGCGGCGGCAGCGCAGAACGGAGTGGCCCCGATGGATCTCTCAGCGTTCAACAACCAGGGTGGCAAGGGGCGCTGCAGGATCTGCAACGGCAAGGGCCACGACGAGAGGAATTGCTGGCACCGCAAGGGCGGAGCTGGTGCAGGCAAAGGCAAGTTGGACAGCAAGGGCAAGTCGAGAAGCGACTCCAAGTCGAAGGATTCCTCGAAGGGCGGAAAGGCAAAGGACGGCAAGACCGGCAAGGTGCCGAAGTGCTTCAACTGCCAGGGGCACGGGCACATGTCCAAGGACTGCCCGAAGAAGAGGAACAACTTGCACATGATGGAGCCGGAGCCCGAAAAGGCGCTGCGCGGGCTGTGGCTCGCGCCGTTCACGATCGACGAGAAGGGCGTGGCGCAGAAGGCCTTCGACCTGCTGATCGAGGGCGGCCTGGTGGGCGACAAGCTGGTGCACGAGCTGAGCAGGCTCGGTGCGGACACGGCGCGGGCATCCCGCAAGATGGTGCTCGGTGTCGATTCGTGTGCAGCTACGACGGTCGTGCCATCAGAGCCAGCGCCGGACTACCCGACGTACGAGAATGACATGAGTGCGAAGGGTGAAGGCTACAGGACCGCGAACGGCGGCTGGGTGGCCGACGAGGGCACTAAGGAGCTCATCGGGTCGGTGCGCAACTCGGACGGCTCGGCGCAGGTGAGAGGCATCAAGGCTAGGGTCGCGAAGGTCAGCAAGGCACTCGCCTCTATCTCGGAGATGGTCGACGCTGGCCATCGGGTCGTCTTTGATGCTGGCGGCAGCTACGCGCAGAACAAGTCGACAGGGGTGATTACACCTTTCCAGAGGCGCAACAACGTGTACGAGATGGAGATGGAGCTGATGCCGTACAGCAAGGCGAAGGACGTGATCGGCCGCGCGGAGGCCTGATCCAAGCCCAGCGCGAGCGGCGAAAAGCAGAAGGAGATCTGCATGGTGAGGAGCGACGACGCAGGTGATGGAGCTGGATCGAGTCAGGCAGCTGCGGCGGCGGCAGCAGCAGAACCAGTCCCAGAACTGTTCAACCAGAAGCGGCACCTCCACCACCTGCCCCGGTGGTTGCTCGGGAGCGGCCGGCAGTGAGAGCGGCGCGGAGACCGCGCGAGCCGACCCAGCAGGAGCGAGAGGACCATGAAGTGTCGCACACGCCGCATCGAGCTTGGCGCAGGCACTGTGTTGCAGGACGCGGGCGAGCTGAACCTCATGTGACGACAAGCCACGCGGAGGATGCGATACCATTCGTGGCGTTTGACTACGGCTACCTCGGCAGCGGCGAGGACGCGGCCCCGATTCTGTTCATGAGGGACTCGCTGCACAGGTACACGGGCGCGGAGGTGTTGACCTGCAAGGGGGCGGCGCACACGCACAGCGCCGACATGCTGGTGAAGTTCGTGGTCAATCGCGGCTACAAGAAGGCGGTCTTCAGGTGCGACAACGAGCCGAGCATCATCGCCCTGAGGGACGAGGCCGTCAAGAAGCTCAAGAAGGACCACGGCGTGGAGTGCTTGCTGGAGACCTCGGCGGTTGGAGAGTCGCAGTCGAACGGTCTAGCTGAAGGAGCTGTCAGGGATATGAAGGGCCTGACGAGGACCCTCGAGCACGCGGTGGAGGAGATGCACGGAGTCACGATCGGCCCGAAGCATCCGTGCCTGCCGTGGATGGTGAGGCACGGCGCAGCAGTCCACAATCGAGGTCAAGTGGACTCGGACGGGCGCGCGCCGTGCGAGTTGAGGAAGGGGCGCGCTTACAAGAGGGCGCTCCCGGCGTTCGGCGAGAAGGCGTTCTACCTGCCAGTCGGCAAGGGGGAGTCGAGGCTGGTGGACAGGTGGCTGGAGGGCGTCTTCTACGGGATCCGCGACGACAGCGACGAGGTGTACGTGGCGACGCCGAAGGGCGTGATGAGAGCCAGGAGCGTCAAGAGGATGCCATTGGCAGCGAGGAGCGACAAGGCTCTTTTCTCAGAGCTGCAGGGCGCGCCGTGGCGACCAGTTGCTGGCCAAGAAGGTGAAGGACTTGAAGTGCCACCCGCTATGGCGACGGTGGTGGCGGACCAGGTGGTGCCGGACGTGGATCTGCCCCCTGTTCCAGGACCTGTGGGTCCTCCTGCTCCGAGGAGGGTCTACATCAGGAAGGACGTGGAGCTGCGGCGCTACGGCTACACCCCAGGTTGCAGGGGCTGCGCAGCAGCTCGGGACAACCAGCGCGCGATCATGCACAACGAGGAATAGCGAACGAGGATCGAGAAAGCGATGGGGGACGACCAGACGTTCGGCGGTGGGGCTCGGGTGGCAGAGGCTCACCTACGGCGAGTAGCTGGTGAGCGACCCGAGAGAAGCGAAGACGAAGAACCTGGGGCCAAGCGAGGACGAGTCGGTGATCGTGGACCAGTCGGTGAACCAAGGGCGCCAAGCTCATCTGGGACTGCGTCGGGAAGCGCTCCGGCGGCGGCGGACGTGGCCATGGGCGACGCGGCGGGGATCGGCGCGCTGCTGGAACAGCTCGGTCTCGACAGCTTGGATTTGCAGGAGGTGTTCAACCCGGGGGAGTTCGCCAAGGGAGCTCCAAAGTTCGATCTGAAGCCAGGAGTGGCGATGGACCTCAGGACGGGCTGGGACTTCTGGCTCGAGGAGCAGAGGAAGCGAGCGAGAGCGGAGATTGAGGAGGGAGACCCTGCCTCATCATGTCTCCTGTATGCACCCCGTTCTCACAGCTGATGGAGTTGCTGAAGGCAAGCGGCAAGCGCGATGAGGTCAAGTTTCAGAGGCTGCTCGCGGAGTGCAAGGTCTTCCTGGGCTTCTGTATGGAGCTGGCGGCCTACCAGCATTCGAGGGGGAAGTGGTTCCTGTTCGAGCACCCTTGGACGGCGTCAAGCTGGAAAGAGGAGTGCATCAAGGGCATCAGGGAGCTGCCCGGCGTCATAGTGGTCAGGGGCAGCCAGTGTGTGTTCGGAGCCAAGTCATACTGGCCGGACGGCTCGGAGGGCCTCGTGGCGAAGCCGACGGGCTGGATGACGCATAGCCGCGAGGTGGCGAAGCAAGTGGGGATCGTGTGTGACGGCTCCCACGAGCATGTGCACCTCCTGGAGAGGAGGGCGAAGGCGGCTGAGAGGTACCCCTTAGGGCTGGTGAAGGCAATCCTGAAGGGCATCAGGAACGAGCTGAAGATCGGTAAAGGGATCCATGCGTTCGAAGTTGGTCAGACCGCGGAAGAGCCAGAGATCCTGGACCAGGCGACCGAAGAGGAGATGGCGACCTTCTACGACGGGATCGGCGGTGCGGTGCTGGACCCAGTAGGCGTCAAGAACGCGCGCATGGACGAGATGGGCTACATGAGCAGGCTCGGAGTGTTTGAGAGGAGAAAGATTTCCGAGGCTCTGCAAGTGACGGGAACCAAGCCGCTTCCAAGCGGCTGGGTCGACACCAACAAGGGCGACGATCAGAAACCAGAACTACGGAGTCGGTTGGTGGCGAAAGAGACGCGGAAGCTGAGCACCCTTGGGCCTAAGGACGCTGCGGCGACCTTCGCGGCGACCCCGCCGCTGGAGGGCCTGAGGATGATTCTGTCTATGGCGATGACAGGGCGGCATGGAGATCGAGTGCTGACCTTCATCGATATCTCAAGAGCGCATCTACACTCGGAGCTGCAAAGGCCGGTGTACTTGAAGGCGCCAGCGGAGGATCTAGAGTGCAAGGATGACGAGTGCTGGCTGCTGCTGAAGGCCATGTATGGGCTGAGAGATGCCGGCTCATCATTCGACCTGAAGGTGGAGGACATCATGGTGAGGATCCTGAAGTCGAAGCAGGGCGAGTTCTCGCCTTGCATCTACCAGGTGGTGACGCCATGCGGGCGGTGGCGCGGTGCCCTCGGTGGAGCTCCCTATGGGGCCCCAAAACGTGTGAGGGGTGTGCCGAAATTGTTGTGGGTGACGCATGCGGGCGGTGGCACTGTGGCCTTCGGTGGAGCTCCCTATGGGGCCACCGAATGTGTGAGGGGTGTGCCGAAGTGGGCGTGGGTGACGCATGCGGGCGGTGGCACTGTGGCCTTCGGTGGAGCTCCCTATGGGGCCGCCGAATGTGTGAGGGGTGTGCCGAAATTGGTGTGGGTGACGCATGCGGGCGGCACTGGGGCTTTCGGTGAAGCTCCCTATGGGGCCACGAAACGTGTGAGGGGTGTGCCGACATGGGTGTAGGTGACGCATGCGGGCGGTGGCACTGTGGCCTTCGGTGGAGCTCACTATGGGGTTACGAAACGTGTGAGGGGTGTGGCGAAATGAGTGTAGGTGACGCCATGCGCGTGGTGGCACTGGGGCCTTCGGTGGAGCTCCCTATGGGGCCACGAAACGTGTGAGGGGTGTGCCGACGACATGGGTGGAGGTGACGCATGCGGGCGGTGGCGCGGGGCCTTCGGTTGAGCTCTCTATGGGGCCACGAAGCCTTGTACTGGGTGGGTGAAACGCAGGGAGGAAGGAGGAGGGGGAGAAGGGGGAGGAGGAGGAAGGAGGAGGGAGGAGGGGGAGGAGGAAGAATGAGTGACGTGGGGCGATGTCTCTTCAAAACGACGACCCAACACCACAGGATGGTTGGGAAATGCTCACAAAGTTCAACAGAACGGAAACATTATTCTATGTTTGAAACTATTTTTTGAACACATTTTCCTGTAGAAGGACATGCCCGTGCGGGTGGTGCGCTCCTGGGCACCGGCTCCCACTTGTAACCAGGCTGACGTCACGTTGGAGGCCGTGTCTGAGGTCGGCGGCGAGCGAGGGGGTGACGTGAGAAGGAGAAGGCCTTCTCAGAAGACCCGAAGTCCCCGTCCTTCTGAGAAGTTTTTTCTAAGCCTCCCCCGAAGACAGAAACAACTTCCCAGAAAGCGCCAGGATTTCTGAGAAGCTTGTGAGACGGCCTTCTCCTTCTCACTTCCCCCCCTCGCTCGCCGCCGACGAGGAGAGAGTGTGGCGTCGGGTTTCTTGTGAGGTTCTCGGGGCCCCTATCCAGCTGACCTTTTTTGGTGGTCTCCAAACCAGGTGGTGACCCCGATTCCCCAAAGAAATAATTCTGGGTCACCACCGGGTTTGGGGACACGCGGTCGCCACGAGGTTTGGCGTTTCCTGGGCCAGCCAGCGCTCGAAAACCATTACCCAAATCGCCCAAAACTCACCACCGGGTGCTCTCACCACCACGTTTGGGGACCACCAACTTTTCCCCTGTTATGCTCCAGAAGATCCTCACTAAGGCGGCTGCTGAAATCTAGTGCAATGCAAGACCGGTGGTGCAATTCACTGAACCAACGCCGTGGCATCACATACGCCACGAAAGTATGTACACAAACACCATTCGACGAATTCTGCATGTACCTTCTTTGCGGGTAGCGATGTATAACATCGTTGGCTTGCAGTGGAAATCTATACACCGCCGCCCTCCCCTGAGGCCCAGGAGCAATCCATTGGAGGGTGCTTGTATATACATAATCACAAGCCGCAAAAGGAGGAGGACAAAGACGGGGACGAGGATGTCGAGAAGCGGCGGGGGAGGCTCGTCTGCAAGTACCGTTGCACCGCGAGTGCGGGGACTTGTTGGAGTATGGGCTGGGGTCGGGTGTTGCCGCACGTGTCCCTTGCAAAAGGAATCCGCAATACCTCCGAGGAGGGTTTCAAGAATGGTTCGAAAATCTTGGGGCACCCTGTAAACACAAGCTGCATTGAATCGCGAAGTCGGCGCGGACCAGACACGGATCGGGTCGCTCCTTGACTTTCGCGGCATCGGAACGGGAACGAACCTCCTAAAATCGCGTGTCGGGCTTGGCCCATACAGGCTAGAAAGGGAATCGGTTCGTGCCATATCGAACATGTTGAATCGGAATCGAAGCCCGAGGATCGGATCGGTTCGACTCGGAGTGGGAGCAGCCCTGTCTTGGGCCATAGATACCTTTGGCCCCCCCCCTGAACCCCGACGTCAGGAACAAATGCAGCACCGCGAGAGCCCGAAACCGGGCAACAACGCCTGAGGACTCACCCCCTGGCAACGCAATCCGACGAGGCAAGCTCGGACGCCCTCAGCATATGTTATCAGCGGCGCCCACTTGTGAAAGCGTGAAGCCAGACGAGGGAGGACCACCAGGCCGACCAAGCCGCGCAGCCGACGGACGGGAACACGGGCCACCTCATGGGCCGCTCAACCTGGAAGACCACGGGGAGAGGTGAGACGCGAAGCGTAAGAGGAGAAGGAGGAGGAAGAGGAAGACGACGACGAGGCGGAGGAGGAGGAGGAGGAGGAGCAGGAGGATTCGATTCGAGCTCATGGAATCGAAATACTGCAATTCTGGATCGGCAAACCTCCCACTAACTAGTTTCAAGACGTGTCAGAAGGGAGAGCAAGAGGAGGAGGAGGGGGCGAGGGGAGATGTTTTGACATCCGCGGCAAGGGGGAAACGAACAACGGAGGGCCACAAAGGGAGAGAAGAGAAGGACACCGATCACTCATCGGGGGAGATCAACCAAGGCCCAAAGTCAACTGTAACACCGTCGACCCTGGGATGCCAACCGGTGGATATGGGGTTTCAAGAATGCTTCCTTCCTTGGGCGCACGTTCGGGGAAGGGGTCTGCAGTCGTTGCGCAATCCGCGCGCTTGCCCGCCGCATGCGTAGCACTCGCAGCGGCCACGTACAAAAACAAACGAATTGCCCGAACAGTCGAGGAACACCACCGAATGCCCAAAGGAGTGGAGGCGGGGCCCGTCAAAGCCACGGGTTCCGATCCCAGGGCCACCTGGACAACAACCGAGAGGTTACTCTTGGTCTGCCCTGGAAGCCCGGAAACAACGTTCACACTGCCAAAACCGACCTTGCCGACTCCACGGGTGCGCAGGTGCACTTCTCTGCTGCTGGGCCTGCTCCACCAAAGGGGTGCTGCTCAAATCTAGACGGGGCCACGAAGGGAGAAGCTTCCCAGCCAGGTCGCAAACCAGCCTCGACACAACGAGCTGCTTGGAAAGCTCCTCGATCTGCTCACGGTCTGGCTGTGGGTGCCGTAACACAGCAGTCTTGGCCAGCTGATCGGCCACACCATTGCCCGTCTTATAATATCTGAGCCTGAGCTCATCGGACATAGCAGGGTCATCGACAGCGTGCCTTTTCACCTTGGCCACTGACTCAAGCCCTGTCGGCTAGAGTTTAAGAAAACACAACTGTAAACCCCTTTGTGGGAAAGCTGCTCCCTCGCAGAGAGATTAAACTGGTGGGCCACGTTCGCACAGTCCGAAAAGCCATTTGGGTCCAGGAAAGGCAAAATGTCCCGCGGCAGAAATAACGATGAACTCGGCGGCCTGGGGCGTTTGCGGACTCGGAACCCGTATCGGGCCGTTGGCAAGACCGACTACTTCACGGTCCTCGTTGTAAGCGACGAACCCCCAACCTCCCCTGGGCAGCTGGGGAACCGCATGCTTATAACAATTTCATCGGCGGAAAATCACCCTGGACCTCCAACTCGATGGGGCCCCTCATTTTCTGCCCCTGGCCATTCCACAATAAAAACCACCTTCGTTCAAAGGATGAGGATACACGTCTCCAGGGTGCTCGAACAACCCCCTTAAGAACAATGGTTTGGTCTCAAGGCCATTGAAATTCACCGTGGACATGTCGGGCCGTTTGCCCTTGAGACGCTCGACCCCCTCCCCCCGCGCCCGAGGGCAAACCGAACAAAAATGCAGACGATGCTCCGGTGAGTCCTGGTCGTCTTCGCAAGGGCTGCAAGTGACATCCTCCAACGGACATCCACGCGTAAGTGCGACCTCCTTCGTCCACTCGGTCCCGCAACGCAGCGCTTTGATGCGGCCCATCTGGAGCGGGGGAAACGCTTGCTCGCTGAGGCAGAACGCAACTGGTCGCAGCAGAGGCGGGTGGCCGCGGGCAGCAACGATTCGGCGCCGTCTCTCTCCGGGAATCTCAGAACCGCCTTGTGGAGCGCCTTCTTGACGAAAGCTGGGCTGCGCAAAGTGAGGGGAGCCACGTCTCCGATGTCGTCAACCAATTTCACGAGTGATTACATTTCCCAACCGATACCTTTGAAGGGAAAGACATAGCCGGAATGGGCCCGCTCATGGCCCTCCAGGTTTTCTTTTCTCGGGCTTCATTTCCAATAATCTCCCCCCAACCTTCGCGTAGCTGCTGGAAGCTCGAGCAGCGAGGGCAGGCCTTCGCTTGCGCTGCCCGCGCCTCCTCGGCGCAACGTAATCGGGCCCACCGCGGCGCAATAGCACGGGCCGCGCTCGAGGAGGAGCAAGCTCGCGATGGGGCGCTGTCCAGCGCTGGGATGACACGACGCCCCAAAGGCCCGTCTCGTAGAGTGCATCCCATGGTCCGAGAATCCCCTGGGTTTCGCTTTCATGAACCACGCCCAGTAAAAGGCCCGATAACAAAATGCGCCTGGCGAAACGTCCTGACACTCTCTCGTGCTTCCTCAGCCTGGCCTGTTTCTTCTTCGGGCGGGCGACGCGGAGCTTGAATTTCTTGGGCCTGCCTGGGCGGAAAAAAAAGCATTGCCACGCGAGTCGTCGCAGCCTAAATTGGCTGCAGAAATGCCTGGTAATCCCGCTGGACCACCCGCAGCATTGCGAATCTGGCCGGCGAGCTTAGCGAGCGAAGCCACAAGCGCAGCCTTGTCAGCCGACGCCTTGCAACCTATCCCCATTTGCGGTAACGTCGCAGATCACGCGAGATGTCGCAACGATGCCTGCGAAGACTTCGTCAAGATTCCTTTGGCCCGAAGCCCATGGACATCGATGTAGATGTTTAAAATTATATTACGCGGCGC